TAAATATATATCTTTGGAAACTTTAGGGTTGAAAACCCTTTTGTACATTCAAACAAGCACCTAACCTCATCACCAGAACTGAAGCCAACTTCCTACAACTCAAAACACAAAACCTGCTAACTATCTCTAGTACCCCCACAATCTGCACACCAGAATCCACCAAAAAACCACTCTCTGCCTCCAGTCTCTCAGGCCTGATCCTGAGAGGGAACAAATTTACAATGCAAACCACTCTTCAGAGCTGAGCCTATGAACTGCACTTCATCAGCCTCCTAGGTAGTAGGTACAGAAACACATGGACAGTGGAATTCTGGCACACTGCAACTGGCCGGACATCTGACACCCCAGGCACCTCTGCGCATTTACCTGTGCTGCTACATCCCCCTTCCCCTCCTACCCCGCCACACCCCAGCCTGTCCCTCCCACACCTGACTCCTCCACTTCCATTTTCACTGACCGAGTTTCTTGCCTGTATTACGGGTCAGGCCAGGCCAGCCCAGTCTCTGGCTTCTTTACTAGTCCTTCCATTCAGGACCAACTGTAGGTACTTCCTCAGCCTGACAAGGGGGTTTTCAAGGCAAAAGATAGCATCCAGGCAGCTAAGCTGAGCTCACTGGGCGTCTCACAACTGCACTGCAACCAGCAAGTATCAGGCCTGTCAAAGACGTGACAGGTCCAGGTGTTCCCCAGCCAGGACTTTGTGCATGCCTGCATTAGCTGGAAGTTATGGCGCCTCCTACCTGCCTTTCATCAGGGGATCATTGGTCCTGGCATTTACAGGGCTGCCCTGCAGCCATCAGTCCCACCAGGCCTCCCTACCCTGGCAGGGTACAGTTTTAGTGGTCATGCCCAGCACCTGGGGCCTCCTCTTTCCCCATAGTACCACTCCTATATACCTCCAAGTTTGTCCTGGCAGGGGAATGAGCTCAGCAGGGACATGTTCTTCCCCTTCTGGCTGGTGATGCAGTTAGTGCCTCCTTTAGCTGAGAGCGGGGCACTACTCGGCTTTTAAAAAAAACTCAAAAAAGGAAATTGGTGCAGATGGATTGAGGAGGGTGACACTCAGTCTGTCTGCAGATGGAGCTTGGGGAACCCCAGCACCGGGAGGTTCACCTTTAGGAACACCAGCTGCTCCACCAACATAGGATCCAAGCAGGTGTAGTGGGATGTCACAACATCCCCAGCAATGCTGAACACCCTCTCGCTTGGAACACTAGTTGGTGGATGAAACAGGTATTGCTGGGCAGCCGTGGCCAGATCCTGCCACATCTGGCTGCGGTTTGCCCAGTAAGCCAAGGGGTTGCAGTCCAGTGGCTCCACATCCTCAGCGAGATAGTGCTGAGGCTTTGGTGGCTACCTACCTGCCTGAGGCTGGGGTCTGGTGCATTTGGGCCCCAGCACTGAAGCCATTCCCATGGCCCACATTGGCAGTGGCTGGCATGGAGGAGACTGGCTGGTGTTGGAAGTGCTGGCACAGGAAAGTGGATTTCCCTTTTCCACCTCCCCTCACCTCTGCACTTCGGCCTCCCTGGCTTTGATCAGCACCTACGTCCAATGATAAAGGGTTTTGGTGTTGCCAGTGCACATGCTCCCCTTCCCCCTCAGGTCACACATGCCCGCCATCATATGGACTGTACTGGACCGCAAGGGATCCAGCCATCTCCTGATGCCCTCCTTCAGCCGCCTCACCAGTGCTTCCATGTCTAGTGACAGCAGCCTGCTCCAGCCAGGAACACTGATCCCCTGGAATTTCTCCATTTGGTTCTCCAGTTCCGTCACTAGCGGGATCACCTGGCTGAGGAGGGTATCGCCAGCACTAATGGTCCCAGTGGCCTGGAGGAAGTGCTTGAGGACCAGCAAGATCTGGGAGATGGTACCCCACTCAGCTCTGTTCAGGGGGTTGCTGATCCCAATCTCCCCAAGCAAGGCCATCTCAAGGATGGCCTTCTGTTGCTCCACCAACCTTTTGAGCATCAGGTATGTGGAGTTCCACCGCGTCTCCACATCCTGTATGATTCTGTGCTGCGGGATGCTCAGCTCTGCCTGTTTCTCCTGCAGCATCTTGCCCCCCTTGATGCTGCGATGGAAGTAGCCTGCCACCTTCCTGCATTTTGAAATCAGCTGGCTTGTAGCAGTAGAGGTGGCGGCGGTGTCACCGGCAGCCCTGTCCCCCTCCAAGACATCCCTCACTCTGACGTGCAGCCTGTGTACCACACAGCGGATGTCAACAAAGTTGGCATCACAGATAGCCTTCGCCATACTGGCCCCGTTGTCAGTGACCATGAACCTATGGGTGAGCTCAGCCTGCCCAACGAGTCACCCCTGCACCATGCGGTTCATGACCCCCAGGATCTCCCTTGCCTTGTGGGACTCATCCAGCACCTGAGCTTGCAGCAGAGCCCACTGACGGCCTGACTGGTCACACCAGTGCACTGTGAGGGAGAGGTAGGCATGATCGCCACCCTGTCTGCTCCAGATGTCAGAGGTGAAGTGCAAGGCTACCTGTGGCCCTGCCTTGTGCAGCTCCTCCCTCAAGTACTCCCTGCACACCTCATACAGGGAGGGCACCACCATCCTGGTAAAAGTGGTGCGTGTGGCCACTGTGTAAGATGGGGCCAGAAGTGCTATGAGCTGCCTGAACCCTGGCCACTCAACTAGGGAGAAGGGCTGGCGATCCAGAGCAAGCATCTCCCCAATGCTCTGGGTGATCTTGCTCGCCTTGGAAATGCGCCCCCCTTTCTTTCCACCTTTTCCCCCACTGGTCTAGGGTGGCCTGCCTCTACTTTGGGGGAAGGGGGCTTTGGAGCGAGCAGGGGACTTCTCTTTCGGCACACTCGCACTGGTGCCAGGCTGAGCAGGAAGAAGGGCAAGGGCAAGGGCATGCTGGCGCTTCAGATGTATCAGCATTGCCAGGCTGGAAAAGTGTCTCGCCTCCTTGCTGCGGCTGATTTGTGCCTTCGGCAGTGCTGGCATATGGCAAACCTGCGATCATCTGCAAGCTCAAAATGCTCCCACACTACGCTACTCGCCAGCTTCTGGGCTGAGGGTGAGGATCCTGCCTTATCCCACTCCTCAGCAGGCTGAGGCTCAACAGCAGGAGGAGCTGCCTCAGCTGAGTCACTTGCCTCCACAACCTCAGCCTCCCAGGTGCTGCTTTCTGGAGGAGACTTGGGTCTAGGAGAAATTTGAGGGGTGTGGAGCACAAACTCTGATTCTGCCTCAGTCCCCAGAATTGCCTGAGCCAGTGTGCTCAGCATCCCTGGTTCCAGCTCCAGTTCCTTCTCTGGCAGTGGGAGGCTCACACTGAGAGATGACATTGGGGTGGAGGAGACAGTGATTCCACTGCTGGTGCCTACTTCTGGACTGAGGGGAGGTGGTGCAGGTGCAGGGTCCCTCCCCCCAAACACTGTCATTGGAAAGGCAGCCAGAGAGAAATCCTTCTCACTGGCTACCTACACGTCAGTCCTCCCCCACAATTTTTGCTTTCAGCTGTCCGAAGCTTTTCCGAAGTGGTTTTTATGCTGTTTCTAGGAAGCTCCAAACAGCTTTGGAAAGCCTAAAGCTATCGCTTCGATCCGGGCATGCTGCTTCGGCGTCCGAAGCAGCCCCGGATCCGAAGCGATGTCTGCAGCCTCTCACAGCCCTATAAAATTATCATTCCTCACCATCTTTGCCTCTTTACAAATAAAGAGAAACCGCAACAGAAGCAGTTCTTGCATTTTAGGACAAGGGAGATTCTATCATTGACTTGAGTTAGGCAACGATTTCAGCCTTGATGCAAGTATCACCTATGGTTTGTGGGAGGATAAAGGGTTATGGACAAGGAGTAAGTGACTGTAACCGCTCAGTATTAGTTTGAAGAAATGTGGAAATGTGACAGTTCAACTGTACAATAAACAAGTAAACGCTCCTTAAATCCTATTCTTAGTTTATACCCAATCTATCCACTTCACCAATTCTGCTGAGTTTTCTTATGCTGGAAAGGATGGAAAAGTGAGCCTAAACTTGGGGGCTAGGGACAGAAGTTGCACATAAACTGGTAATAGAACAGAAGCTTAGTGCACATAAACCAGTTTCAAGATGGCTGAAACTAGTTTAAGATAAACCTAGTTGAATGTAGTATCAGACTTAACTGATTTGTGTCAAACTGTTTTATGAAACTTCTCCCCCCATACCCCTTCCTGGTTCAAGTTAAATCGCAGTATTCCAGCATGGTTTCCAGCCCTGGGCTGGGCTGTGCTGTTTTGCTCCAGAGAGCAGGGCTGGCCCCACCCCTCTGCTCCCTAGCAGGAACAGTAAGGGCTGGCTAACAAGGGGGTGGGTGGGGGGCAAGCCTGGCTGGGAATGCAGCCCACCCTTCAGGGGGAGGACTGCCCTCCCACCCCCTTGGCAAACCCTGGGGTCTCAGGCCACAAAGCAGAGTTAAACACCCCTTCCCCTGATCAAACTTACTGCTGCAGAGTCCTGCTGCTGTCATTCTGAACTGCGTATCCCAGAAACCTCAGGGGAAGCAGGAAGAGGAAGTGAATACACAGCCAGAGAGCCATACTCCAGTGCCCCCCAGTTTCTGGCTTGAGCCCCTGCAAGCATTTGACTGCATTTCCTGAATCCAAGGTAAATGTCTGTTTGCTTTGATTTCAATTTAATCTGTGCAGTTCAGACTAATTTTCAAAGACTGATTCAATTCAGCCTTGAGCTTTTTGATTGCCTGTACTTAGCCTGGCAGAGCCTGCCAATGCCAAATAATGGCCATGTGACACCAGAGAGAGGGTCTCATTGGAGCATAACTTAATGGAAACTGAAGATACAGGGATTTGGGCTTGAATGATGGGATGGAGAATTAGGCTTTGACTACACACAGATTCTTTAGATAAGAACTAATGTTCAGTTACAGCAGAACACACACATGCAAGATATTTTACATCACATATTAATGCAAAACCTGAGTATCTTTTGCCTTATTAAATAAGATATAGAAATGAAAAGCCACATATACTTACTGTTCTGGGTTCAAATGTATAAAGGGCCCTGAATACTTTAACTTGTCCTAAAAACAAATGGACACAAATGTATATTAATGGAAAGGTGGAAATACTCTTTCTTTAAGACAAGATACATTGATATCAGATCTATCCCCAAAAAATCAAAATTATTTCCTCCTTATTCACGTTACATTGAATTTTATAAATCAATTTTCAATGTTTGCATACATTCTCTCTCAAATCATGCTAATGTTCTATTCAATAGCACATTTCAGCCTGTCAACTAACAATAAACTTGCTGCAGAAAAATGCAGGGTTTTGTAGCATGCCAAATCAACTGAACTTCCATGAAGGATTTATAGATTAGGTTCCATATCTGATCTAGTACTGACCATTTTATGGACAACAGTTGCTGTTGGACCAGGCCCTACAGTTAAAAAAAGGGATGGAGGTCCCTTAAGTTGAGCAATGTCTTTAGCATTAGTACTTTTTTTTTTTTTTCCTCCTAGCATGCACGATGAGGTATGTGTAGAGCTTCTGTTTGGAGATTTTGGATGCTGTGTATGACTCCATTATTTGGCAGTTTATTTTAAGTGTCATTTTCAAAACGGATGCTCTTACTACAGAGAAATAAAAATCTAATGGCATAAACTACAAAAATATAATTGCATAAACTGTAATGCAGCGTACACTAATTTCAAGAAAATAAAGCAAGGAGTAGAAAATGAGTGTAAGAGGAAAAAATAGATGTCTTATGTAATTTTATATTAGTCCTTAAAGAATTGTGAACTTGGTGAAAAGCATCTTATGTAGGTAGGTCTGTCTTATTTTAAGAGTCTGAAGTTTTGAATGTTAGAACTCAGACTGAAATTCCTCACATGGTTCAGACCAACTTGCACCCTAACCAATATCTGTGCAAGACCAAAATGCATAAGCTTAGAACTATATTCTAGGCCATGTATCCTTGCAGATGTTAAGGTCTGGCACTGCATTTAAACTTTGTGCTTACATAGGAGTTCTTGGAGGCTCTTAAACCACAAGTCAAATGAGAAGACCTAAGTTATTTCCTTATGTTCATTTACTCAGATCTCATGAAGTCCCTCTCTCTTTCCTGTAAGGAAGAGTACTATAATTTTTATGAAAACACACATTGCCCCCACTTTTTATAAAATGAACCCTCCCAAGAGGAAAAACAGTAGTGATAACTCTTGGAAATAAATTTGAAGGCCTTTAAAACTTTGTAGTACATACTGTGTGCATATACTGTCTGAAAAAACTGAAGCAGTTGTTCTTGACCTTTTAAGACTAGAGGCACCCCTTGGAAAACACTCTTAGTTTTCTTTCATTTTTTTGACTATGGAAAAATAGCAGAGTAATTATTCTATTGCAATGAACTCTAAGACCACAACAGGTTAAAGCAGGGGCGGGCAATTATTTTGGGCGGAGGGCCACTTTATTGAGTTTTGGCAAGCCATCGAGGGCCACATGACAGGCAGCCAGGGACAGATAAATATTCACTTCCTAAATTTTGAGGGGGGGCCCGTGGGCTGGACAGAATGGCCTGGCAGGCCACATCCAGCCTGTGGGCCGCATTTTGCCCACCCCTGGGTTAGTGTTTGATGCTATGGATTCCTACTTGAAATCTATGGATTTATCCTGTGAATCATGACCAATATTGTGCATCATCCCACAGTACCCTTGAAAGGATGTGTCACCATCCTGGTTGAGAATCACTGGATTACAGAGATTTAACCATGACGGCTGTTTGTTCATATCTCATCCTGTAACATTTATAATGGACTGTCCTGGGGGGGAGGGGGGGAAGCTCTTGCCAGGAGCCATCCTACAGTGCATACTTAGTAAGCTTATGTACACCTGCAAAAGTGTAACCTCTAGACCAAGACAGTTCTGTAGCATCTCAGCGTCTTCAGACAAAAATTATTTCATAGGTTAACATGAATCAAACTCAAAGCTGCTCAATGCATGTAGACTTTCTTCTAGGACAAAACATCACACTTGGCTGTACTACAACATTTAATGTGAGCACTAGTAGAAGACTTCATTCTTGCTTCACTGGTTCTTTCACTCTGAAAAGTTCTATACAATCTCTCCTGAGATGTGAGGCATGAGAGGTTTTAAACTGTTTGGTTTGATGCTGCACCCAGATCATGCACTTTTCAGCAAGACAACCACTATGTAATTCTCCATCTGAGACAACAAGGTTGTGATTCACACTCTCTCTTTTTACATAATATGTAGAAAAAAAAATTTTTCTAATAATTTTCAGAATGCGCACGCCACAACCAAAGGGGGGGGGGGGGGGGGGTGTTGAAA